GGGGATTCAAACATAAGGCTAGGTAAAGTGGGGTTGCCAACTTAGACTTTCTTTCTTGGGAGACTCCCTACTAAGAATTAATAGGGTGGGGTAGACTGGCTGTTAGGGTTTTGGGCAAAGAGGAAAACTCACTGAACCCTGGAGAAATTGAGCTGGCACGATGGAATAGCACGTTAAGCTAATGATTACTGCTCTGGTACGCACTTCTAATCCAGCTCCCTGCTTATGGCCTGTAGAAACATTAGAGGATGTCCCTGGGCCCCTGCACCCACATGGAAGACCTGGAAGAAGCTCCTGGATGCTGGCTTTGGATGTCTCAGTTCCAGTTGCTGTAGCCATTTGAGGAGTAAATCAGCAGATAAAATCTTTGTCTCCCTTTCGCATAAACAAGGAACTCTGGAAAGAGAACATCAACATTGGTGAACTGGAAACACCTAAGTCGTCCTGTGATCCTGCGAGAAGGGGAAGGAGTGAAGGAGCTGAGGAAGGCAGACATGTGAGAAGCGGCACGTCCCATAAGGACAGAAGTCCCAGCAGAGACTGTGACTGTGGAGGGCATGGCATGATAGCTAACAGGGTTTGACCCATAGCCAAAGAGTGGGAAGAAGATCCGTGCACACAGGGATGTTGTTTGCCAGCGGCACCAGCCGAGAGGCAACGGTGAGGCAGGGAGGCAGAGGCTATTCACCGTAAGAAGCCACAACACTTGCTCAGTTTGCTGATCTGTGACAACAACCAGGCCCTGAACTCAGCAGCAGAGGAGGGAGCACTGTGCTGTGCCACGATTAGTAGACTCTCCGGTGCTATGGTAAGCATAGAGTTCTCACATGCTGTAGTAATTATATAATATAGTGATTCCCTCACACCTTTCCCAAACAGGTCTAGGCACATTTATCTGGGTGACTGTACATTAGGGAAAGGGGAAATGGAGCTACTGTGAGGATTATTGGACCCACAGGCTGAGTTGAGGGCAATTGATAGTCAAACACAGAAGCATGAACCCTTCTCCACTGTTGAATTCAAGGCCTAGAGAGACCAGCTCAGGGGAAAATAGAATTGAATGGTACATCGACTGTGCAGAATTTTGCATCACCCACGCATTTTTTTTCATAATAGACATCTTTTATGAACTTTCTGAAGACTCCTTATGTGTACCAATTTCAAACAAGACACAGCAGAATAAGCTTACCTTCTCATTCCCTGTCCCCTAAACTACTTCAGGCATTCCTGGTTGAAGTCTGATGCCAGGAGGACCTGCCGAGCCTGTGGGTCCACCCCGTATTCTTCCTGTGCACGAGTGGGTGTGTAACTGAAATTCATGTTCTTGGCATTTGTAGTGACCTACATGATGAGTTCTTGTCTTTGGGGAAAATGCTATCTCCGTGAAGGAGGCCTTCTGAAACTGCTCTGTAATAGGCCACAGAATAAATCAGAGATAGCCAAGGACAAAAAGGCACACCATTCTGAAAGAACTAGCAATGCAGGGACAATGACCCTCTCCTGTTTCTATTGCACTGGCTGCAGTGGCCTCTGCAGAAACTGGTTGGATCCAGGAGGACAGCCTTCATCCCGTTATAATCTCTCTCCCAGCTACTCTACCAACACAGTGCTCTGTTAAACCACATCAGCGTGGCTTCAGGTGCCTGGTGCACAGCCACTGAGTTTGCAGTTGTGTTTTTTCCTACTCTGACCAGAAAATAGAACCCAGGTGTTCACACATTGATATGAAAGGCATCGCAACACTTCTGTGTGATTTTGCCTTCCTCGCCCTCCACCATTGCCTCCTATAATGCAGGGGTGCATGGAAGGTTTTCCTCCCCAGAGGGCCATTTAGACATTGATAACATCATTGGCCAGCCCTACTCAGGATCAACCTAAAAACTAACCTAACAGATTGAATTTTGAGTCCCGCCTGAGGTTGCAGTGGAAGACAGAGGCCAAACGTTTATGTGGGGCTTATTTAACCTGTGCACTGGACATTCTCCTGCCAGAGAATTGGACTTCCTGGACACCCCACGGAAGACCACACTCACCCACTGTGTTGAAGTCATCGTGCCTTTTGGACAGGGGAAGCAAAGGCTGCTGCACTCCAAAGGATTAGTGATAAGCCTAACAAAGATTCAGGGATCCAGCATGCTAATAACTTTTTGGAGAGGTGTACAATCACTAGAGTTGCACTGGGCTAATGACTACAAAGTGAAAAATAAGTCATTGAATAGTCCATCTCAACCTCCAGGAGAAGCCTGGTGCACAATGGGCTTTGAGGTTTGAAGGTGACCCAGGTCACACGCAGGAATCCTGAGATACCAAATGTGCTGGATGATATGAACGATTTGCAGCTTCCAACAGGGCCAGGACAGGGAAAGAGCTTGTGGATGCTACAGTCTGCTCATTTGGGTTTTGAAATATGACAGACCCCATAGCAAGATGGCAGAAGAAGATAGAAAACGCAGCTTTGGGGAAGGCCCACTGGAAGGCCTGTGGAATTATGGACCAAGGCTGGGCCCGCTCACCACAGAGAATTAGACATCTTTTAAGAAATAGCTCTTAGTAGAATGCTGGGGCCCTGGCCAAAACAGAATGTTTGCTTATGGTGCACAAACTAATTCCATGTCTTCAAGAATGACCAAGTGAGCCCAACGTCAAAACTCCCCTGGCCTGGAAATTCAAACATCTCAGGAGTGAAGGTGTGGGCTAGGCCCCCAATATCGGCTGGACTTCCCACTGAGCATGATGATAATTTATAAGAGCAAGGAGTGAGGAGGAGCAGAGTCCCAGCTGCCACTCTGAGGTCAACCACAGAGATTGGGGTCTTCAGTTTGTCTCACTAACCTCCTCTACCTAAGTCCTCACTTGACGTGGGCCTAATCCAAGCGTGTTAGACCAATGTCACGCTGCATAAACTGTGGCATGGCACAGCTTTTCTCAGAACTTCAGTTTCTTTATCTGAAATGGGACTGGGAAGGGCTGCCTCAGGTTATCGCAGTGGGGACAACCAGAATCTGCAAGGTTCATGGCCATTGCTGCGCTGCGGTTCAACTGCCCTCCTGTTGTACTGTAGCCATTGGTATTGGTTCATTCTTAGTTCTGAACAGAATCCAGTCCATAGGCAGCCTTTTATTTATTCAAATACAGCATCTAACTCCCGGTTTCCAGAGCCCAGCCTCAAGCTCATAGTGTCTCTTCAAGCTCTTCTCTCCATTGTCGAATTGTTTGACTTTCTGTTTGCTCTAACTTCCAGGGCTCCTCTGGTCCACAGCACCCCTCTCATCTGGCTGCATGTCAGTCTGGACTGGCAGGTGCAGAGAGCTGAATACCTCTACCGCACAAGGTGGATCTCTCTACTTCTACTATGGCCATGGTTTGCATGCTTCTTTCATAACAATATCACACTGTTGGCACCTTTAAATATGCAATTCACCAAATAAGTAAGCACCCTTGGTCATTTCCCCTAAAACATTGCAACTCCAGCTTTATTCCTTCTCTTTCTAGAAAGCTGGAATTGACTTGGAAACCACATGGCTCGATGCCTAACAGAGGCCAGGTCCTGGAAACGAAACACTATTACCCAAGAACTGCCACAACAATTCTCCACAATAGATTTAGGCAAGGGGTTCATGAGGGTACTCTAAAAAGTTTATGAAGATTGAATTTAAAAATACATTTAATGAAGAGATTATCTTTCCACCACTGTGTGTTTGGTGCCTATGTTAAGAACCAGTAGCTGTGGTTCCTAACATAGGCAACAAGTGTGCGTTTCTAGGTTTTCTGTGTTGTTCCATTGCTCTATGTGTTTGCATGCTAGTACCAGCCTATTTTGATTACAACAGCTCTGTGGCAGAGAAGTGAGATGCTTCCTGATTTGGTCTTGTTATTCAAATTGCTTTGGTTGCTTGGGGATAGGGGAGGGAGACAAGCTCGTCCATGTAAATTCCAGGGTCATGTTGTCTAGCTTCGTGAAAACTGTTACTGGTGTCTTTATAACTATTGCACTGAATCTGTAAATTGTTTTGGAAAGTTCAGATCTGTGAACATGGGAGGGCTTTCCACTATTTCTGTGCTTTCTCCAACTTGTCTCCTTAGCATTTTTGAGATTTTCGTTGTAGGACCTTCCACATGGCTGGTCCAATGTTTTGTTCTGTTGTTGGTTTTGTGTTGGTTTTGTAGCTATTCTAAATGGTGCTGGGGAAGCCTGATATTCCTAGAATGAAGACTGAAAAGTCAACCCTACCTTTTACTGTTTATAAAAATCAATATACAACATTTCAATGATCTAAATGTAAGACCTGAAACTGTTCAATTATTTGAATGAAACAGATGAACCACTTCAAGGTATTTACCTAGGTAATGATTTTTTTTTTGAGAATATTCCCAAAACACAGACGATGAAGGCAAAAATAGACAAATGGGATTTTATCAAACTAAGACACTTCTTTCTGCACAGCAAAGCAAATGATTAACAGAATGAAAAACGACTGCCAGAATGGGCAATGGCATCTTTAAACCATTTATCTGAAAAAGAATGAATATCTAGAAGATATACAGAAACCTGAAAGGCTCAATAACAACTAAACAAATAATCCAGTTAGGAAGTGGGCAAAGTATCTGAACAAGCATTTTTCAAAAGAAGAAATGTAACTAGCCAAGAGACCCATGAAAATACATTCAATATTACTAAACATCAGGGAAATGGAAATCAAAACCTTAACGTGATATCATCTCACTTGTGTCAGAATGATTAATATCGGAGAGTAATAAATATTGGTGAGAAAGTGGAGGAAAGGGAACCCTTTTGTGCTGTTAGTAGAAATTAGGACAACCATTATGCAGAATAGTATGCAGATTCTTCCAAAAGACTACAAATGGATCAACTGTGGGACCCAGCAATCTCTCTTCCTTCTCTCTTATTCTGGTGTAAAAAATGTGGAGGAATCCATGCATAACATGCATTTTCCATGGTTTTTCCCCATATCCACATGGATGAAGCCTGGCAAGGGCTCAGAGTTCCCCCTGGCAGCAGAGACACCATGATCATGAAGGTGGTTTTCCCGGGGCGAGGCTCATCCATCGCACTCCAGATGTGCTGACCCCTGCGATTTCCCCAGATGTAAGAAACTCGACTGTGTAATTTGTGGTAGTGGGGGACCGTGTTCACACTCTCCCCTGAAAAGAAAAAATTTAAATGTTCCCCTAGGTCATTTTTTTTTCTTCTTTTTTTTAAGAAATCAGAAGAGAGGCAGAGAGAAAGAAGCCCTTCCTGGCGGTTTCAGGGAACCACTATGAGAACATACCTCAGGCTTGCCTTGGCTACGCCAGAACTGTGGGGAGGGGTAGGGGAAGGGCATGTATAAGGGGTGCCCCCAAAACAGTGAGACGGTCCCTGAGTGCGCCACTGAGTCACTGAATCAACCACGTTTGCAGCCACCTGGCGGGGTGGTGCTGTAAAGCACAGTATTACAACATCCAACAGTCAAGAGGACTTGGGGCACCCTGCATCTCCTGATACTTCTGGTTCAGTCCCCTGCTGTTTCCTTTGACTGCACAAGCGGCCCGGGATCTCCTTACTAGGTCCCTGCCGGGTTTCCTCCTGTGTCTCTGCTTCCTGCTAAAGCAAGGAATGAACATACAGAGGCTGGCAGCGAAGGAGAGGAGAGGCACGCAGCCCTCAGACCCACAACCCACAACCGCATGGAGAGATACATTAATTGCCAAAATTGGACTAATGAAAGAGACATCATTAGGCTCCGAGAGCAGAAGAGAGCAAGTCGCTGTGCTAATGAGGTCTGAACAGGCCTCTCATTAGCCACATGGCTGGGACTGTCGTGAGGAGGAGAACGATGAGCAGGCTGGCAGGCAGATGGGGACCCTGGAGGTGGGGGTGTCCCTGGCTCCTCCAACGGAATCCAGTCCTCACAGGATGGGAGGAACCCCTGGAGGGAAGGAGCAGCTTGCCAACAGAGCACAGATGAATGGACATTGCCTGTCATCCCCAGTCTGTCCCAGATCCCTGCACCTGTCATAGCTCTCCAAGGCCAGCAGCCCAAGGGTCACCTGAGGGCTCCGGGGGCCTCCCTGGCCCCAGTGCAGACTCCATGGATGGAATCCCAGGCTGCGAGTCTGTGTGATTTACCCATCTGAAATGCCACTCCCACCAAAAGGGACCCCAGCTCCCAAGGCCACTTGCATTTTTACAGAAGGCCAGGGCAGGTCCCTGCTTGAGTTAGCTGGGGAAGATGTGCCATGCCGTGCCCTGCACATAAAATAAAAGTGGCTTTGTCAGAGTGGAAGGATAGCCAGCTATCTACCTTCCACTGTCTTTTTTTTTTTAAGATTAGGGTTAGGGTTAGAGTTTTGTACTTTCATTTGAAAGGCAGAATTACAGAGAAAAGGAGAGACAAACAGTGAGATCGTCCATCCACTGGTTCACTACCCAGATGTTTACAACAGCTGCAGCTGGGCTGGGCTGCAGCCGGAAGCCAGGAGTTCCTCCTAGGTGTCCCATGTGGGTGCAGATCCCAGACACTTGGTTTATCCTCTGCTGCCTTCCCAGGACATTAGCAGGGAGCTGTATCCAGATCTGAACCGGAACCCATGTGGGATGCTGGTGCCACAGGCAGAGGCTTAGCCTGCAAGCATACATCAGCCCCCACTATCTTCAGGTCTTGCTGGTATGCTCCATGCTGTTTCACTTACATCTGAGGGCTCCTGCAGGGAAGACAGGCCTTGCTCAGGTCTCTGCTCCCAGTACCCAGCACAATTCCTCAGGGACAAGAAGAAGCAAGGAGCTGTGAGCTCACCAACATGACCAGAAGAAATCTCCACAACCCTCTTCACATTCAGCACCATGGTCAGCCCTTCACACAACCCCTCACTTGCTGAATCCTGCAGCCAACCAAGCACAGAGAGGGAATCCGAAGCCCCTAAGGATGCAGTGGGGCTTGCTCTAGCCCAAACAGCCTGGCAGAGGGCAGAGCCCATTCACAGCCACCCTCCTCGCACTGCTCCTGGTATTCCTGCCTTCAAGGAACCCATCTCAGATGGGGGCACCCTTCAGGAAAAGGGTGGCGCTTTCCAAGTTGTAATGTAAGAGAGCCGCTGTGATCACATTTTTTGTAACTTCCCTTTCAAGATCACCGGGGTGGTATGTGTGATTAGCGGTTAAGAGGCAGCCTGCAGACCCACACATTCTATCTTGCAATGCCTGGGTCCTATCCCTAACTCCAGTTGGGAGTCCACCTTTCTGATAATATGCAGCCGGGAAGGTAGCAGGTGCTAGCCAAGCAGCTGGACGCCTGCCACCCACATGGTTCGTTCTCTCTCTCTCCTCTCTCTCTTTTCCTCTCTCACTACCTTCCCCCAATCTGGAAGATGCTTCATTCTTCATGCCTAATACTTTTTAATAACGTGGGAGGAAAATCTTTCCTCTCTATGAACCAGAGAGCAAAGCCTGCCTCCTCTCAATAGAACCATCTACACTTGGCAAAAATGTATGAACTGAGACGGACCCTCTGCGGACATTCATCCCCAGCCACCAACACCTTTTCCTCCCCAGAGTGATAAACAGACAGGAGGAAGATTAGCTTTCTTTCTGATAGCAGTCACACATTATAATAATCATGCATAAATTTACTACCAGAAGAAGTGCACCCAGAACAGCACCCTGAAAGCAATGATAAAGACAAATGAAAATGAGCGAACAGTGACCTGGAGTGGTATTTGTGAGCTTGCACCTCACCCACCCCGTCCCCCAGAACTGTGAGCGAGGCTTGGGGTCCTCCCAGGCTCCACTCACAGGTAGTCTTTAGCACACGTTTTTTGCTTTTTTTTTTTTTTTTTCTTTTTGCCTTTTCAAGGAGCATCTATCCCAGCAGCTCAAGCCTCAGGCATTTGAAAAGCAACTGAATTGAGTAACAAGATGAACTGGAGTAAAACTAATTCTGAGATCTATTAAATTTTTGTTGTTGTCATTAAAAACCTGAAACACAGCAGAGAGCAGCTAAGACACCTAGGTGTCACTTGTTGGCCAGCCAAGTCCATGCTGTTGGGTCAGCTCTATGTCCATGTGTGTGTGAGAGGTACTGGGCACCACAGAACCTCCCCAAGGAAAGAGCTCCCTGGGCAGGAAGGTGAGACAGCCAGCCCCACATCCAAGACCACCACAAAGAAAATATCCCACTCCTCTCCTCATCCCCAACCCCAACACGGTGACAATCACCCGCTGTACTTCCTAACCCCCAAGGAGGAAGAACAGTGCCAGTGAAGGCTCTGGGCACCTGCCCAAACTGGGACAGGATGCCTGGAACACGACATAGGTGTGGCACAGCGCAGGTGTGACCTGTCTTTGGGATCTGGACATGCTGCCTGAGGGCCTGTGATGTCTCCCTATGTCTAAAGGGATTCGTAGGTGCAGGGCCAAGCCTTCCCCAGACTTATTTCATCTCAGATTGCTCAAGTAGTTGGTTTCTACCATCCACATGAGAAACCTGGATTGAGGTGCTAGTTCCAGCTTTGGCCTGGCCCAGCCCCAGCCATTACAAGTGTTTAGAGTGTGAACCTAGCACATGAAAGCTTGCTCTCTCTGTCTCTCTCTACTCCCTCTTGCCCTCCCTGCCTCACTCTCTTATAAACAAATGATATTTTAAAATATGACTCATACAAATCACAGTGAGTACCTACTTTAAATCAGATTTATTTAGTTCAGCAAATCCAATAAGATAGACAAATTGGCTCAAATGGACGATGGGGCATGTTTAGTCAATGGGGGAAAGATTCCTGGAATTTGATTGCTAAATCAGACATAAAATTAGTCACTGTCTTATAGAGCAACAGAAAAAAGTAAGAAAAAAAAAACACTTATAACTTAATGATGTTCTTTTACCGGACAGAAAGTAGTCTTTATTTGTTTTATCTGTTAACCACAAGTGAACATGAAGCCTGTGATGGCGTGAGCCCAATGCTGCTGCGACTGGTAAGTCTGAAGCACTGGAGAATCCTGGCATGGAATGTGTCTGGGCTCTCGGATGACCTGGAAAGGACGCTGCCCACGGCCTTTGCCTTAACTCGCAGTTTTGCGCAACTCTCTTAAGAGAGATAAAGGAGGATAACAGGAATGGGAACAAGAGGATACTAAAGTGATTCAATCAAATTACCTGCCACAGACATACAATGATCACTAATCAGGTGATTATGGTGGAATGCAGCTAAGAGAGGCATCTCCGATTTGGAAAACCGTGGGAAGGACATTTCACAGAATGAAGAGTGAAAACACAGTCATAGAAAACATAGAGCAATACAAACTCAGATGAAAGGGCATTAGAACTTAGAGTGCCGATCCCTGGGTTAGAAAGAAATCCCAGGATTCAGACACCTGATGCAGAACGAAGACTTTGTTTGGGATGCTCACTTGCTCCAACTTCCTGCTGATGGAAACGTTGGGGGCAGGAGCAGCAATAGTTCAAATATCTGGGTTCCTGCCACCCACTGGGGGAGAGCTGAGCTGCATTTATAGCTCCCAACCCTGGTTGCTTTCCAGCCCCAGCTGTTGCCAGCCTTTGGGCAGTAATCTAGCAATGAGAGCTCTGTCTCTACCTTAAATAAATGAAAGAGGATTGTTTTAAATGCAGAATGAAAAATCTGAAACAGAAAAAGAGCACATAACATTACAAAACAAAATACTGCATCGATGCAGCTGCTGTTAAAAAAAAAATACTTCATGCCAAAAAAGAGAATCAGAGAGTTCCATGATCATCAAAAGAGCACAGATTTCAAAATTTTTTACTCAACCCAAATTGTCTCTCAAATAGGAAGACAGGACCCCTAATATCGCACATCCACAGAGTCTGTGACATTGCCACAGGAAGCCCTGTTGTGGAAGAAGCTAATGACAAAGGACATAAACGAATGAGAGATACATCCAGGAGCTGCTGCCAAGGCTGTGTGGAGAAAGGCAATCCAAACTTTCATAAGCAGGAAGTACTGGTCCAATTAAAATCATGTATTTTGTCTATATTGGCCTAAAGGCGGAAATCCTACAACATAAGCTTTTGGATCAGTGTCTTGGTCCAGTGTATTCTGCTCTAGGAACCAGGAGTTTTTTCAGGGTTTCTCACCTGGGTGCAAAAATTTGGGTCATCTTCTATTGCTTTCTTGGGCCACAAGAAGGGAGT